GCGTGCAACTGCACGCTTTGATTTTTGTTGACAACAACTATGCGTTGCTCTTATTGGTTGTAGGTCTATCCAATTGAGTGCAGAGGCATTTTTTTTCCTGGTTCGTTCAAAACACGCCCCATAATCACAGCTCTATGGAGCAGCATCAGACTCATATTCTGACTAGAATTGAGTAGGACTACGTCAGGCTACCCCTTATGACCCCACTTGGGATAAACGTGACGGAAAATGGATGAACAAACAGGATCCTTCCACCCGCCCATCCCTGGAACATGCCCCCCTGAGCTGAAAGCCATATCAGCATTCAGTGTCTCACTGTCTAATCTTAGATCCACCTGATAAATGTTTCTCTTTTGTTTGTGTTTTTCTATGGACAGCCTGCCACAACACATTCTGGATCCAAATGTTAGCACGCAGCTCCCAATTTAAACATTTAAGGACTTTAATAGGAAAGTGGAAATTCATCTAAATAAACAACACATTGAGAGAAAAGGCTGAACTCTGTGGTTTTTACTTTCTATTGCTACTCCAGGATTTTGGAGTTTTTGCTTCAATAAGCAAGATGGCAGGCGACAAAAGAGAGAAACTGTCAAAAGAAAGAGAAAACTGTCCCTCGACAGAATCCATTTAGGGTGAATGAGTGTGCACTTGATTCAGAGAGGCTGAGAGAGGAAGAGCAGGGAGCAGGAGAGGGCGGTAGAGGCAGGGGGAGGGAGGGAGGCAGGCAGACACCTCAGCACTGCCCCGGCGGCTCAGGCTACCTGTTGGTCCTCACTGCGGGAGAGAAGGACGCCGGACATGGTGGTGGACCTGAGCGGGGGAAGCAGACTTCACATGAGGAGGAAGAGAAGCTCCAGCATGTTTCCACGCATATTACTCTGCTCTGTTTTGTTGGCGTACCACGGGACGCAGACCTGCAATGGATTTAACATAGATGAGCAGTTTCCTGTGATTAAAGAGGGGAAAACCAGCGGGAGCTTCTTTGGATTCTCAGTGGCTCTGCACAGACAGACCAAGGTCTCCAACAGATATCTGTAAGTTGTCGGATGTGCGTGTTTTTACAAACTCTTTTCTGTCACCTTAATGAATCTACAGGCTGTCATGTGCCCGTACTAATAGAGATCCGCTCCTACCGAAAACAGCCATTACCTGCATGAGAGGAGCGGGTTTGGTGCGCATTCACCTGCGTTACCCAAACCTTTGCGCACGCTGCAGGCTGCAGCAGCAGAGCTTCTAACGCGCACATTACTCTATAATCACACCTTTGTTTCCTCAAAGCATTAAAAGACGGAAAAGGGTGGATTAATGTTTTTAAGGAGTTTGAAATTGTTTTAGAAAACCCGTAGACCCAGGGCCGGACCAACCATGTATGGGGCCCCAAGCAGAATTTCAAATTAGGACACCTTTTATCCCTCAGTGTTGAAGGAAGCAATTTCCAACAATATACCCAAACAACAAAACTATTGATTTAACCTTAAAATATAACTTTTAGAATTTAAACTTACTGAAAGCCGAAAAAAATAAGACTCTATTAAAATAAATTGGAGTAAAATAATAATAATAATAATGAATAATTCCAAAGTGGCAATTACTTTAGTTAAACAGTTTAAAGACATTTGATGGAAGTATGAAAATAAGAAAAATTTTATTTTGAAATATGAATACTGTTCTTAATTGCTAAATGAAATTTATAAATCAACAAAAGATGACTTAATAGATGAACAATTTCTAATCTAATTTCTCCTATATATATATAAAAACGAATTGTTGAAAGGGCATCAAACGTCACAGAAATAGTGATGAAGATTTTAGATATAATCAACTGAGTTTGCCGAGTCTGTATGTGAAACATGATCCCAGAACACAGCTATAATAATTCCTCTTAGGGTTGATAAGTCCATCTTTTCAAACTTAAGCATTAGAACTCTTCAAATCGCCAGTTGGATAAAAACTTAACTCTTTGCTGTAAATTAAAAGTCCACAAGTTCAATGACAGCTCTTAACTTTTTACTCAGGTTATTTTTTTTATTCCTAATTCCAATCTTCGTATGCTTCAGCCTTATCGCCTGAAACAACCAATGGGAACAACAGCTGACTGAATCCACAGTCTGCAGTTAAATATGAAGTAAAACCTTTGGTTGAAAAACCAAAGGAAAGTATTCTAGATTATAGAATAGATATAAGTGCAGTTTGTTTTCTTTAACCTCTTCATAAGTTAACTTAAATCTCTGCTTGCCGCTAATTTTTCTTCAGTTTCTGTTTATGGACATAATAAAGTCATAACAAAAGCACATAACATAGGTCTTAATTGCAGCATTGGAGTGTTTGCTGAAACAATGCAGAGCTTATTGCTTCCGGTAGTATCAGGTCAGAGACGTGATGGGACTCGTTGTTTTAGTGTGTGGCGTTCAGCTGTGTGAAGTGGAGACATGTCAAAATGTATCTCCGGAGGCCATCAAGCAGATTTTCTTTATCTGACAACAAGAATTTCCCTCTTAGTTTTACAGTCACATCAATCTGTATTTTGCTCATTTAATATTTCCACTTAAAGATATATTTACAGCTAATTGCATATCATTACAATACCATCTATAATTTGGAGTCAGGGATTACTGATAAGGGTTTTTCCATGATTACATTTAAAATGGTTGCAGTATATTTTACTGGATATAGTATAGAAGAGTTAAAACCGTGGATATAACTGTGCTTAACCCCCCCGAAACCTTCTCAACGTGAATAACAGTTCTTTGAAACTCTCCAGTTCTTGGTGTTAGATTTAACTCAACCAATAACCGTGGCCTCTCCATCCTTCCGCATCCGTGATCGCACCGCATCTCCCTAACTTTGCCCCATCTGTGTCACAGTTCTGCTTTCACACAGGAAGGAACTTGTAAACCACCTGTAAACTGCTTGTCATCAGCGCGTGGAGCAAGGTGCAAGGTGCCAGATTAAAAATGTGCCACAGAGTTTAGGTCTGTTAGTGGAACAGATAGCTCTGTGCTGCTGACATATGATGTGCCATCACAGCTCTGTCCCACAGGGGTCCTTTCATTGCTTTGTCTGGAGCCTAAGAAGGGTGAGATAAGGTAAAAATGAGACAGTAGGGGCAGTGATGGGGAAAATATAAAACACTGGGATCTAAATGAAAGGGAAACGTAAGGATTCCTAATGAACCTTTATGCTAACTGAAGTTAGCACTGTTATACTGATGTTTCCTACTTGATTGTAATGTAATAGACTCAGTTAGACCGGGCAACACAGACTGAAAGGTCAGAGGGCATTTTAGGCTTTCTTTTGGAGCATTATGTAGCAATGTAGAACCTGAACTGGCCACCTTTAACCAGTATCAAAGATAAAACACATTAAACTCCTTGTAAATACATTTCTTTTTTTTCATTTTATAGCTTTTACATTTGATTAATTTTGTTTTCATAAACAGATTTGTTTTAGGTTCTATCCAAGGGCTGCAAATGGCATGTAAAATTGAACTTGATTGCAGAAAATAAAAATAATGATGCTGAAATTCAACATTGTTAGGCAATTTCTGCATAGTTTTATCGGTGTGAAGAATTACTGGGATCACTATAACTACTTATTTATCATTTTTAAACTATACATCAATACATTTTTGGGGCAAAACTGGTTACAAAAAATGGATGGGCAAAATGAGGCAAATATCCCAGTGATCAACAATGTCATCACATATATTCCCTCTTTATATGTTCCAGCTCTAGATTGCGCTGTATTTGGAAAGACAGATGACCAAATCCAAACATGCAGATGCTGTTATTTTCCCCACATTAATGTATTTAGTTTAGGAAAAGCTGCTCACTAGCATGAACATGATTGGTGTGACTTACCTTTTGCTGTAGTATATCTTCATTATCTACTAATGTTGGTGATTTTTAAATGTAATGGTCTGATAGAGAAAAGATTGGTCATGTGACAGTGATGATGATGTAGCAAAGCATTTGGGTGTTTATCAGAAGCAGAAAGGCTTTTTTTACTGGTTTGTTTGTCAAAAGTGTAGGAATGAATCTAAAATTTTGTGTTACGTGAATATGGGTTGCCATACGTACAGTACTGTACAGAAGTTTGAAACCATCCCTAATTTCTTAGCTTGGAAAAATCACATTCTTTGTAATAATCTTTAGTGGTTTTGATGAATCCCGTTCGTGTTTTATGGGCCTTATACTGTTTGTTCTTATAGGATTTTGCTTTATTTTACAGATTTTCTGTGTGGACAGCAATATAAGATCAGACCATGTGTTTTTTAAAACATTTTCTTAACAAAAACTAACGTTGGAGACCCTCAGTATACAGTTTATATCATAGCTGTTATGTGCAAAGCTTAGGAAGCATCTTTTTGAACAGGGTTTGCCTTCACACCATTGGGTGGAAGTTTATTTAAATATGTTACAAATAGAAATATCAACAAATCAAATCAAAACATAGCAATGCTGGCTGGCCAAGAACTTTTGGACATCATATCTGTCAACTTACACAGAAACTGAACCTCTTTGAAACTCTGGCGGTTGAGCTATTTTGTTAGCTAACTGAAGATCACAGGCACTCTGTTTTTAAGCAAAGAACAAAAAAAGAAAAATGGGATTTATTTTGACAAAGAATAAAAGTCAGACTTTTTTTGCAAATGCCTATTTTGAAATCAGCTCAATCGGGAAATCTCTCACAATAGATAAACAGTTCCTAAAGTCAGACATAGAGCCGCATTGATGAGTCATGGTTTAGGTAACTGCTGTATAATTGTTTTGTCTGCTTAGTAAACTGTATTTTCTAAATCAGACTCTGTTTGAAGGTAACGTTAAAAAAAAAACACTTGTTCATAAATGAAGTTTAGAATCTTGTAATGATCAGAATGAGCAGAAACTATTCTGCGTGAAGAAAACAGTTTCAGAACTGATGTAAGATATTAGGTGAAAGCCTGGCTGCCGAGAATGAATATAAGTAGATGCAGGATGACTCAAGATTTTTGTCTTAACTTGCATTTTGTCTGAATAGAACCTTTTTGTCCTCTCATTATTCAGAAATACTGAAAGTGTTCACCCCCTGAATTCTTACAGAAGGTTTTCTTTAACCTGTTGAGACATCATCCACCATTATCCAGTATGGTGTGATTTTGGTGGTTTTTGTTGTAAGCAAAGAACCTTTTGGAAATGGAAATAAAAAAAAAAAAAAAGATGCAAACCATATATAAAACTTTGAAAAACACTTTTAAGCAACAAACGTTCTTAAGCTTAGCTTTGTTTTTTCTCAGATTTTATTCCTTCATGTGTTCTTTTTTAATTTTGTTTTCCATATTTAAATTATTTAAAATGTATTCATATTTTTAAGTATTTCTAATTTGTTTTATTTTTCAAACTTTTTGTATTTTCTGCTTTTAAAATGACGTTTTTTCCGATCACATTGTCTTCAACTTGAGCCCAATCCTTGACATGCACATTGATCAGTGAAAATGCTGCTACCATCCCTGCAGGTTAGGCAGAGTGGGGGTGGGTGTTCAGCTATAGGCAGATAGCATTGCCTCTGGAGTCAAACTGCACCTGAACAACCTAAAGCAACCTGAGGCCAATTTGTAGCGGTGTATACTACCTCTCTCTGTCTTTGAATCTGTCCTTTAGAGGGTTTTTGTTGTTGTCTTCAGTTGTGGTGAGGAGGAGGGACGGGGCTGTCAGCTGGCCATCTATTGGCTCCTACATTTCTTTGACCCCATGGTATGCTTGGAATGTTTCACTTTTCTGTGCAAAGTCACAACCTGTCGGGTTTCAGGTTGAGGCAAGCTGCAAGTGAGAGTGATGATCTGAGCTGGATGCAATTCTTTAGAGAAAGGCAGCTTCTTAATAATAAAAAAATCCTGCTTTTTAAGATGAATTTTGATTAGATAAATCATTATTCTTTAAGCAGATGAATATTTAAACAGAGTTGAAATGTTTTTTGTTGTTTTTTTGTGCTAAATGTCCATCTTACTGCCTGAGGCTATGAAAACCAGACATTTATTTAATCGGGACCTTCCCCT